TGAAGCTCATCCAATTGGTCTCAGCCCATGGCTTCAGCCTATACTCTTGCAGAAATCACTTCTGCCTCATTCCTGCCCGCCCATCTTTGTCACAGAGAGGAAAGTGCCTCCCCAGCAAAGCAAACCCAGCATGGCTCTACATCGTGGTGAGCCTAAAATCTCCGCTGGAGCCTATGAGCCAGCGCTGTTACGCTCTGCTTTGTTGGTGAAATGTGGTGGGATTAAGACTTTGTCCAAAATCAACAAAGCAAAGAGGGTCCCAACGCTAAGCACCAGCCAGGTTTTGAAACCCAAGTCCAAAATCCACTGTATAAGATAAATAAACCAGGCTCAAGCTTGCATAGCCAAGCTACCCCAGCACAGATGGTGTTTCTTCCCAAAAAACCCCCAAAGAATCGGGTTCTGTCAGCTCTCCATGGCTGATGGATGCTCTTTGGTCAGACAGGACCAGCCCAGGCCTTTATCTCTGGAGCACAGCACTGTTTTCCCAAACTCTGGGAGGAAGGGTTGTAATTTGGGATCCTCTACCTCAGGGGCTGCTGCTGACCCCCCCACCATGACCCTTCATCTCTCATCCGTACCTGGGGAATCTTTTCCCCGGGGAACCCTGCGGTTTGCTGAACTGGATCAACGGAGCTGTTATGTTTAGTGACGTCTCAACTGGTGCTCATTTGATTGCAGTCATTAAAATTTAATATCGGCGTAAGCTCTGAGAAACCTGAGCTGACAGCAGCGACAGCGGAGGAGGAAGAAGTGCCCCAGCCCGAAGGCTCCCACAAGGAACTGGTGGTTGCTGCTTGTCCCTCGTGCCAAAAAGCCCAACTCGGCCGTGCGATGCTCGCAGAGATGCAGCGCTGCAAGATTTTTCCAATTTTTAGCACTATTTTATCCAAAAAAAGGGGCAGCAATGGGAAGAGGCACCTGGGTTAAACTCGTGCTGAAGCCCAGGAGTTAAAGATGAGGCTGCTCTGCTCTGACAGCTCAGCATAAGCTCAGACCACGCCGTTCCTCCCATAGCACGGCATCGCATGAGCGCTCCATCAGGATGTCCTTATAAGCACAGACTCCAAACCACAGCGACGCCTCTCAGCTGCGCTTGAGCTCACCAGAAAACCAGGGACTAAACCAGAGGACCCCTTGAAGCCTCTTCCAGAGGGGTTTCTTACAACCCCGTAACACCATGGTGCTCCCAACCAGCCCCTACCTTGTTTCCCCCACCCGCTGGAGGCCAGGTCTACCCGGCATCACCATCCTAGTCTCCCATGGCCATGGGAGCTGGTGTGGGCTCAGCCCCTCGGTGCAGCCATCGCCGCTGTCGCTCACTGAACCAAAACACCTCCTGCAAACAAAGCAAGACCCAGCAGCTGCTTCCCAGCCTCTGAGAAACCCAACCAAGAGGAGCACTTGGAGCAGGAGAGGGCTCATCCCTGCCAGAGCCAGGATCAGCCCCTCCATCACCCGAGAAAGGGGTGCACGGGCGACAAATCTCCAAAAGTTAAGGGTTTGTTGTAGGTTGTGGCCTTTTGGGGCAAGTCCACAGGCAGGGAAAGGGAAATACACGGGGAGTTTCAAGTATAAGGTGCTCCAAGTCATCTGTTTCTGGACCCCGTCAGAGCCTTCAATACATCTTCTTTATTAAAACCCGGACACAATGGGCCCAGAAGCGCCCACCTTTGTCAGGGCTGCGTTGGCAACTCGCCTGCAGCCCCGGGGCCGCGCCTGATTTGCATCTCATTTACACAGATGTTCATTAAAATTAATGCCTTAAGACATAATATCCGCCTGCGCTGGAGCCTTCTGGACAGACGGACGACGACCAGAGAGCCCCTGTCACCCCATGGTGCCCCCCACGCTCAGCTGCATCGTCCCCACGTCCTCTGGTCCCCACAGACGCCCTCTGTGAGCATCTCATGTGCAATCCAAGCGGGGAAACGCTTGCGATGTTGCCTTAAACGCTGCGAAATAAAAGCCTGGTGCAACCCAAAAAAAGCCTCCCGTGTTCCTCGCTTCCCACAAAGCCCGAGATTTCTCCGCCGCTCTCCCTCCCGCACGTATGGAGCGCAGACGGTCCCTGCCCGCGCGCTGCGGTGCTTCCACGTGCGGATTGGGATCTGGGGATTGCAGTTCCCCTCGGAGGGAAGCGTAAGATGAGGCTTTGCAATGATTTGCTCTGCAATGTTCCTGATCCGGGCAAAAACGCGTGCCCCTTGGATGAACTGCGCACGGGAGGAATGCCGCTGTGTAACCGCGATTGCTCCGTGCGCCCTTCTCGCTTCTCCCCTGCTTTTATTTTTACTTATTGCATGGCAAAACCCCACCAGCACGGCTCCAACTTTCATTTTTCTCACAAACAAAGACCCCAAATGCACCCCGACGGCCAACGAATGACTCCTGGTAAGGACACGTCACCCCGCAAAGCACCCTTGGCTCGGACATCGCTGTCTTAAAGAGTTGCCCCCAAGGTCACCGAGACGTCGGCCGTTTGTAAGTGCTGCCATGGGTTAAGCTGCGCCCGCCACCCGGCCGAGCAAGCAAATTGCACCAACGTTGGGTTTCATCATCGCTCCTAATGAGAGCTGCTCAGCCGGGAATAATCCCTTGCTCCACAGGAAAGTTTCACTGCTTTTAAGGACTCAAAACGCCTTTTTGGATAGATTTGTTTCAAGCGGTTGCGTGACGAAGTTAAAACCTTGCCTTCAATGTAAGCTCAATGCAAAAAGGGGGTTAAATAACACTGCCAAGGTCTTTGTTTTTTTTCGGATAGGCAATCCCCAACCCAGAAATGTCTTGTCCTGGTGAAGGTTTTCACGGAGCTATTTTAAGTGATGGAACGGGATCAATTAGCCATGAGATGAAAAGTAAATGGCTGTAAAGACACCTTCCCCTCCCGGCCCCCATTAACGCCAGGAAACGAGCAGCCAGATGTAAATCAGCCCAATCATCAGCTCCCGAGCACATCAGGAATAGAAGTTTCACAGCAAGAGAATTTCGAAGCAGTATTAATATAATTAATGTAGTGTAACAGCACGACCCCACACCGTAATACCGTATTAAAAATCACCAAACGCCCTCCGACTCCTCCCTCTCTCAGCATTTCACACAACCCGCCGTGGTTTCTTGCAGCTCTTCGCTGGAAACACGAACAGCCCACAGCAAAACTTTGCCTTCGCTTTATTTCCCGTGGGTGTCTCTCATCCCACAGCTTATCCGTGGCTTTATTTGTACCCACAAACACACAGATGGATGCATCTACGTCCCAGATGAAGTGAACACCACGCAGGAATAGGTAGAGACCTGCAGGATGATCCGATGTGGACCGGGCTTTCAGATGAAGCCAAGTTAAGCCAAAAACACCCCTCCCTCAACAAAACCTGAACACCAACCTCCTCTGCAAGCCCACGAGGTACCAACATTACACAAGGAGAACAGGGAAAGGTTTTCTCCTCCTAATCACCAAGATCTCTCTCATCTTTCCACCGCAGACTATCGAGTCCAGCGGCCGATCTCAAATTCTCCAGAGCCAAGGACATTTGACCCCACCAAAAACGCTGACAAACAGCAACCAACAACGAACCCACGGCAGCTCGCGGACCAGAGATCCTACCCAAACACACCACACCACCAGCCAGGCCCTCCCAGCACCAAACACCACTGAAAAGACACGGTGACGCGAAGACTTACCTTGAAGTCTGCCAGCTGCTGGTTGATGGTTTCCACCTCCGTCCCCACCACCCACTGCAGCGCCTCGTGCTCCTCGGCCGCGGCCGTCGTGTGCGTCAGCTCCTTCAGCCGGCTGTAGAAGTCCTCCACACGCGACAGCGTGGTTTCCACCTGCTCCTGCCGGCTCCTGCCCCTCTCCGTCAGTTTGCCGCACTGCTTATGCAGCGTCTCCAGCTCGCGCTTCAGCCCCACTAAATCGGGGCTCCCTTCCTCCTCCAGCATCTTCTTGCATTCGCCTTCGGAAGCTTCGATGTCAGACCTCAGCCTCTGCAGCTTGCCCAGGAACGCGCGTACGTCCTCCGCCTGCGACTGGAGGCTGTCCGAGTCCCTCCCGATGGGGCCCATGCTGTCCAGCTCATCGTCCAGATCCGCCAGGTAGGAGAACATCTCCCGCACCCGGTTACTGAACTGGCCGATGCCTTCCAGCTTGTTTTCCATCAGCGTACAGCAGTCGGTTACCTTCTGCTTCACAGCCCTGAACTCCTGCTGAGCCACCTCCGCTTGGCTGAGGAGCTGCGAGCAGTCGGACCCATCCGGGGCATCTTCTACAAGGCCTCGGGTGAAGTTTTTCAGGTAATCCACCTGCGGCTCCAGGGCCTGCAGCACCTCCTGCTGCGCCCTCAGCTTCTCCAAATTCTTGTTGCTGCAGGCTTGCGGCCCCAGCGCGTCGTAGATCTCCAGCTGATGCTTCGCCCCTTCCAGCTTCTTCTCGATGTTCTTGAAGCTCTCTTGAAACTCCTTGAGCCTCTGCGACATTTCTTCGATGGAGCCCGTCTTGGCTTGCAGCTCCTCCGTGATGGCGTCCATCTTCTGATTGATGCCGGCCTTCTCGTCGCGGATGTCGTCCTCATCGGTTTGAGAGGCGTCGATCAGGACATCGGCCGCGCCGTTCAGCATCTCCAGCAAGGAGCGGCGCTTCTCCACGTCGCTCAGCATCGCCTTGGAGCGCAGCAGCGTCGCCTCCAGCTGCACCGGATCCAGAGTCACCTCCAGCTCTGACACCTTGGCCTCGCACTCCTCCACCCAGGGCAGGAGGTCCTCTGCATGCCGCTGGTACTTCTGAGCCTTCTGCAAGCAGTCCTTCAGCTTGGAGTGCCTGTCGGCCGCCTGTTTGCTGAGCTCTTCCCAGTGCGTTTTCAGGCTCACCAACTGGTTTTGCAGAGTGGTTTTCTCCTCGCCGGGTTGGACAGAAAGCAGCAGAGATTCCCCCTCGGCTACGATCATCTCGTAGGAGCCGCTGTGTTGGTTGAGGCTCTTCTGGAACTCTTCTTGCTCTTGAATTTGGCTCTGCAGCCTCTCCAGTTTGGCGGAGACGGGTTGGCTCTGAGCTTGCTGGCACCGTTTGTCATCCAGCCAGGTCCTGAGTTCATCGAACATCTGCTGGAACTGCTGGGAGCTGGCGAGCGCGGTCTGCAGCCGGTTCATCCGGTCGGCTGAAACGGAAACCAGATTAGAGCGCGACAATTACGCCGAAATCAAATAAGCAAAGTGCAATTATTTACAATCATCTCAGATGCACCAACTGCGTTTTGATTAACAGGAAGGAGTTTTCCATTGCATCACGGCCCTTTTTCGCTCCCCGATTCATAAATTTCTTAGGCAGTAACAGGCAGTGATAACGCAGTTGTCTCAGTTCTCCTGACCGGCCTCTAAATGCAACCTCTTAGAGACCACAAGAGGCATCCCAAGACCAGAGCGTGGCCATTGGGTCTTCTTCATGCCCCATTTGGAGTTTAGGAACCAGTTTGGTGTTTGCTTTTCACCAGCTTGGTGGAACTGAACATCTCTGCTACCAGACTCGGGTATTTCTGGAGCGTGAACTCTCCTGCGCTTACTCCCACATAAAACACCCATGAAGCACCCTAAAAATACGATAAATGCTGCTTCCCCCAATTATTCTTAGAAACCCAGCGATGGCAGAGCCCTTTGGCAAAAAGCGGAGGTGGATTTTGACATCCCAACATCTCCTAAGCTGCTTCTCCCCACTCGGTCTCACCTGCCAGGTCCTCCAGCCCTTTGAGAGGCAGCGCCACCGTCTCCAGCCGTTTCCTTAACTCATCTTTGAGGTACTGCTCCCCGATCAGCACAGAGAGGTCGTCGCAGAGGGTCTGAGCCTCCATGATCTCCTCCTCCAGCTGCTCCAGGTCCGAGCGGATCTCGCTGGTCTCCTCCAGCTGCTGTTTCACGGCGTCGGGCTGCGTGCTGACGGCAGACTGACTGCTCAGGCGCTGCCCGACCGCCTTCACCTTCTCCGAGAGGCCCTGGAGGAGCTCCTGGTACTGGGTGCTCTTCACTATGGCTTGGTCGATTTGGCTGGAGCGGGAGTTGAGGCGATGCGTGAGCTCGGACCATTTCTGATTAACCCCAAGGAGCTCCTCCCGCACCTGGTTACTGGATGGAGAAACATCTCCAGGGCCGGTTAGGATGCCCTGAGCCGCTTGGTTGAGCTGCTCGTGCTGTTGTCTGCGAGCTTCGAATTCCTTCAGCATAAACTGCAACAGAAATAACATGAAAATGTTTGCATAAAACTGACAGCTCAGCATATACAGAGTCAAAGCAAACCAGACCTCCAGGGGCTTCAGCCAGCCCACGGAGTCAGGAGGAAGCAGCTCTGGGGTAGGATGGTTGGGGGATTGATTTACTGTGACCTTGCGACTTAAAAAGCTGGGAGGGGTCTGCGAATTCAGCATTTTGCTCTCATATTTGTCCTACTGCTGTGTAACGTAACATAAACCAGTTGGATGAGGAGGAAGTCTACATTAACCAGGGCATTTTGGTTTATGGCGTGGCAGGTTATGGACACGTCGGGGTTTGGGAGCAGGAGGTACAGCAAGGGCGGGCTGCCAGGCGCAGGGGCAGCGCCTGCGAGTCCTGCAGAGCATCAGCACGGGTCTTGTTTAAGGCAATTTCACTCTCTAAGAGGGGCCAAGTGATTCACTGATGAGTCAATCCAGCGGGGAAGGCAGCTCGAGCGCTGCGCCCGTTTCCAGTTATTCACAGCAGCCTGGGCTCAGCGGGGGTTGGAGGACTTGGGAGAGGAGCCACAAGGTCTCCTAACGCAAATCCTCCACCTCAGGTACTGGATGAGACCCTCCCTTATCATCTCGACCCCACCACGGAGATGCATCCGCAGCCCCTGCCTCACCTGGACCTGCTGCTTCTGCGCGTTCAGCATGTTGGGGTCGATGGAGAGGGGTCCCAGCACGCTCATCATCAGCTCCTTCTCCAGGAGCCAGGGCCGCAGCTGGGCCTCGGCAGCCTGGAAAGTGGCCATCTGGGTCGCCGACTCCTCCAGCTTCTGCTGCCGTGCCGCCGTGGCCTGGCTGGCGCGCTCCCACCTGCAATCTGAGGCAGCGGCCGCGTTGGCGGTGGCGCTCCCGGCCAGCCCACCCCTCCATGGAAAAGGGTTTTGACCCTCCCCATGGTTCCCCCAAGGGGAAACGTCCTCAGCTTCTCAATAAAACTAGCGTGGCTCTAACGACTCTCCATCTAAGAAGCCGTTACCCGTTTCTAATGGCTACGTGGTCTGGAAGCTTGCAGTAAAAATGCCCTTGCAAGCAGGATCTCTGCGCTCTAGTCACTACTGCCACGAGCTGGTCTGACCTTGGGCGAGCCATCCCACATCCCTGGCTCCACAAATGAGGATACTCTCATGTGTACCCGTCCTCACACAGCACATTCAGATCTCCTGGACGGAGAACTCCGTCAATGCGACCCTGCTATGTCAAAGAAGAGAATCGCTGGGCTTCCTTTTCAATACACAGCCTTGTTTAGTCAACATTTCATTACCTACCATAGCCTTACTAATGACCAGAATTTTATATCAAGCAGTGAAGCTTTTAATCAAAATAATCAACTCATGTCACCAATGCTTTTTTTTTTTTCCCTTCTTAAGAAGGCATTTAAAGAGGTGAGTCTCTAAAATACACATCCATCATAGAGATTTCATTAATCACGACAGCGCTCATCTCAGGAACACCTTGTGCACCAGACAGCTCGGAGGTAAGATCACTATTTACTGCATTTTAATTAGAAGTGACTGTGCTCTGCTGTGACTTTGGATTTGCCCTGCGATCCTGAACCACGTCTAACGTGATGGTTTGAGACAGAAGCTCACCAAGCGCTTCGGGCACTTACTCAGGTCCTCCTGCATCTTCTTCCAGTTTGCTGCTTCTGGAGAATCTGGATATTTTTCCAGCAAGCCAGAAAGTGCTTCCTTCACCTTCTGGATCTTCCCAGAATTCTGTTCCAGTTCAGCCAGAAATGCCTGAAAAATAAATGTGAACCCTTTCAGATGGAGGGCAAAGGAATTAAATCACCGAGCAGGAACAAAACCACAGCTCTGAGCTGGAGCCGGACAATTTCTGATGTGAAATGAAGTCACTTCATTTTATTAGCAATGCCGTGAGCTAACTTGGCTTGGAGAGCAGGGAAAGGCTGGGAATTGCTTTCCAGGAGAAGTTGGAGTGACCCAGCAACAGATAAGCTCAATTTCCCTGAGCCAAAGGCCCGAAAGCAAGGGGTCTAAAAGCAAAGAGGTGGAGCAGAGCGTGGGGGCTTTGCTCCACGCCCCCAGCTCTGGGCCCTTTGGGGAAAGCCCTTTAACTCTGCGGTGCTGAGCCCTCCAGTCCTGCTGCAGTAACGCTCTCCTCCATGGACCTTTGGGAGGAGATGCTCAGATCCCCGTATTTCTGCTCCGTACCTTGTTGTGCTCAGCCTGGGCTCTCATCGTCTCCGTTTTGGTGGGCGAGGAGGAGGCGTCCAGCTCCGACAGCATCCGCTCCTTCGACTCCAACCACTTCAGCATCGCGCCGGCCTCCTCCTGCACCTCCTGCATCCTCTCCAGCATCGCCGAGAGCTGCTGCTGCCGCTCCCGCAGCGCCGCGCCGAGGCCCCCGTACTGCTGGGTCACGTCCGACACATCGCACTGGATCTCGGTCAGATCTGCTTGCAAGACAAAAAAACCAGCCTGAGATGAGGTTGCCCGCATTGCCCGTCTGAAACCTGCACTATCAGGTACTAATCTAGCCCGGGGCAGGCGCAGCCGCCCAAGCGTGAGGAGCGAGAGGCAGCGCTGCCGCCCGTCTGGCTGCGGAGCAGCGTCAGATCGTCCTCACCCCCCACGCCAGAGGGGCCCTTCCATCGCAGCACGTACCCGTGCTGACAGTTTGCAAACACAGCCAATGCCTCTGTGTTTGTGAGCCTGATGCGAGCTGAGCCCCCCTTGCGCCGTGTCACCGCTCGGACGGCGTTGAATCTGACGCCAAAATACGAAGCCGTTTTTAGGCGCCTATTATCTCGGTGAACTAACGGCAGATAACGGGCAATAATTAAATTTGCTTTTCAAACTGAAGGGTTGGATGTCGTTATAAGCCCTTAGAAGCAATAAATTTAACTGCAGGCCTTCCAACCATCTCCCATATATCAATTTTTACCTCTGCCTGATGGGGTGTCAGGGTGCTGCCACTCCCCAAAGCTGCCCCTCTCCGTCCTTCAGCCTGACCTACATCCCCCATCACCGCCTGCCCGCCCCACAGCTCCAGCTACCACGAATTTGGAGCCACATTTGCAGCTCGTTTTCCCTGTATCGTTGTGGTTTCTGCTGTCCCGGATGGAAATGCACAGAAATGGGGTACGGGGACACGGCGCAGCGTGACGGCGAGCTCACCTTTGCACGTGTGGTATCCGTTCACGCTGCCTGCTGAGCCTCCCGGTGCGGGCAGCGCAGCACCTGAGCAGAGGGGATGGGGACAGACAGGGGGACAAGACAGACGTGTTAGGAATGTGGACAGCAAGAGATGAACGGGCCCTCCACAACACGGACCACACCGGCCACCAAGCACAGATGGATTTCCACCCCCCTGGCTCGGCACCCGTTCGATTTGGAGCCCCTTTATTTCTCCTCCTGGAGCTGCTCCTGCCTCGCTGGACCAGAAGCACTGAAGCTGCCCAGAGATGAGCACCTCTCCCAGCATCGCCCAGTGACCAGGCTGGATGTGGCTCCTGCATGGACCATAACACTGGGGACCATGGGCCACCTCTCCATAGCTGGAAAACTGCTACCCTAAGCACGATTTTGTGAATTATAATATCAAACAAAGCTGCTGAATGCCTTCCCTGAGGAGATTAACTCCCCTGAAGAGATTAACTCCCCCATATTCTCCTTTTCTTACAGGATGAAGCTGTTTAAGCCCACCTTGGTGCACAGACACACTCCCTTTGCCAAGAGAGCTTCATGTGGGATGTGTCGGTGTCCCCTCCTTGGACACCAGATATCAGAGCCACGCTCACAGCCAAAGGGGATCCATCAAAAACATTACTGGGTAGGCCTTTCTCTTTCTAACCATGTATTTTAAAGCTCTCATGGATGTAACGGGCTGCAGCTTTGGTCGCCCCATGTGGGTCACCCCCAACAAACCTCTCCCCACTTCTCCTGGAGGTTTCCCACTGAAACGCTCATCAAATTAACCCTAACAAACACATAGAGACCAGGAATTCCCATAAATGCCCATCAGCAGGGATTGTCCAGGGAGCTGGAAGGCATCTTTTAGTTGGATTCCAAACAAACCAGACATCATCTCATTGCTTCACAGCCTCGAGGCCAAAAAGACAACTAGTAAATCACATCTGGATATTGCAGAGATTACATATATATATATATATATATAAAATCCAGAATACTCTTCCTGAATTTCATCCAGATAGGAAAAGCAAATACCGGGGTTTGACTGAAACACCCCAGCCCTGTGGGGCTGAGACCCTGGACCCCCACGCTGCAGCAGCCCAAAGCTCCCATGTTCCATCCCAGCAGGGACACGCGTCCCCATGGCAAAGGAAGGGAATTTGGTGCTCGTTTTGCTACAGAAATTAAGCCAAACTGGTGGGCTCCAAGCGCTCGGCTGATGCATTGACCCAACAAGCAGCAGCCACTCAAACACCGGGCTGAGCCCCACCACATTTAGGCCGCCATGGGCTCTCTGAAATTTGTTATAAGGGGGAAATAACCCCATTTTCTGCTTGAGGTGGGCTCAGAGCAGAGGCAGCAGTGAAATCAAGCAGTGCCAAGGAAGGAGGCGTCCTTGGGAGCCGGGCGGGGACTCACCTGACTTGGCCGGGGCGTCGGGGGCCGTAATCTCCACGATCAGGTTCTCCAGGAGGGTCCCTCTGCGGCCGATCTCCTCTACCTGTGCCCCTTTTCCCTTCCACTCCTCCAGGAGATCCTGCTCAAAAGCAAAGGGCGGGATCAGAGGCTGCACTTGCACGGCTTCAGCTCTCCTTCCTCGCCTGTCACCTCTGCGGTGACACCGGGACACGGCCCCCAGTGAGCAGATGGCACTGGGAAAGTGGGTGACTTCACGTGTATTTTTATCAGGGGAATCAAAGAGTGGAAAGCTCTTCCCCAACAGGTCTGTGGAAGGAAACCTGCTCCCTCCTACTGTTTCGGGGATCTCCCTCCTCCTCTTGACACAAGCCAGCCTCACGTGAGCCCGGTCCCCGCAGTTTTCGGCACAGCCCGGTGATGTGCCAGTGCCATGGATGCGAGGGCCGTGAGCGACTCGGCAGACGCTGCTCTGAGTCAAACCCTCATCACATCCCGATTTAAAACACCGTGGTGCCAGGGAGGAGCGGGGGCTCGGGTGATGGGAGGCCGCCTTCCTGAGCCAAAACCGCGCGCGCTCGGGCCTCCCGCCCCCAAACCCGTCTCCCGCTCCCAAATCTGAGCAGGGAATTGAAACCAGGCAGCGCCCAGGACCTTCGCTCTGCTCCCTTCTCCACAAACCATGGATGCACACACACCAGGGGCTGCAGCCCAGCAGCCCAATATTCCCAACACCATAAAACACCTCCCAGGACTCTGCTGCCTGGGTTTTAATCCTCATTCCAGCATTTCCACACCAGCTTTCCCAGGCCGGTGCCGGCTCCCTGTGCCCACCTGGATCTGTTGCCTGCGCTGCTGCAGCTCCTGGGTGCCCAGGGAGGTGTCAGCGGGCGGCATTTTGCCTTCGCTCTCCTTCAGCCACTTCCTGACGGCCCCGACCAGCTTCCGAAACTCATCCAACTGCTCCTGGCAGGAGGACGCATCCTTTTCTCTGCAAGTGAAAAGATTTCAGAGAGTCAGAGCTCGTGCTTTGCCTCGCAATTACCCCTGCCTGAATGTAGCACAGTTGTGTCTCTAGGAGCCCTTCTTTTTATTATTATTATCAGAGGTTGCTTAGGAAACAGCGCATGCAATGCCAAAGCAGGGTGCATGCTGCAGCCTGCCCCTCGCTGCCGCTGACCCCCCCAAACTGTGGCTGGGGGGATTTTTTGGGCTGGATTGGGGCTGCTTTGGCAGCACTACAGTAGCCCACAGCCATGGGACCACCACTGCCAACCTGCACTGGGGGCTTTGCCCCAGGGGGGGTGAAGCTTTTTTGGGATGACGGTGCTCATTCACACCAGCTGCAGCCCAGGCTTGGCTCTCCCTCCATCCCCAGCCACAGCTCCCATCTATTCAGCCTGCATGGGGCTGGCTGGAGGCAGCGCTCTGAAATACCAGGGATTATGATGGGATTCATCTGCTTTTCCTCATCACCTTCCCTGTACTCACCAGGGGGTTTGGAGATACAGCCTGGGGGATGTGACCCTCACTGGGGACATGGAGGTGCCGCTCCAACCCTGCTCACGCTGCCATGGTCGGTTTGAGCTCAAGCTGCTCCTCAAAGCTCCCCTTTAACCCCTCATTTTAAGTGGACACTGGGGATAGGATGCTCTGCTCTGTCATGCCCGGGGCAGGCTCCCGATTACCTGCACCCCAGCACCCTGCTCCCCCTCCAAGATGCTCCGGGTTGGAGCTGTGGCTGCCCACACGCCGGGAAACGCACGAACGAACGAACGAACAAACGATTGAACGCCGGCTCCTGCAGCACCAGGAATTCTTCACAACGCCCCCAGCCAAGGCTTTTTTTAAAGTGTCAGCTGCAGCGAGCAGCCTCACGGCTCCGGTGTGGGAGGAGGGAGGAAGAGTTCGCTCTTGCACCCCCGTGGAAAGGAGATCCTTGCCCTGACCGTGATGCCAACCTCAAAATCACCTCCCTAAGGAGGTGACAAGGTCTCTGGGACTCACCTTTCCTTTGCCACCTTCTGCAGCTGCAGGAAGTCTTTCTTCAGGCTCTGCAGCTTCTCCTGCTGCTGGGAGGCGCTGGGGGCGAAGCCGCAGGGCCCCAGCTCTGCCGCCCGCTGGGTCCTCCTGGTGCTGCCTCAGCTCTGAATTCAGCTCCTGCCAAGAGCAAAGGGCGATGCTGACCCTGCCCTCGTCACGGGCTTGGGCAGAGGGGATGAACTGGACAGCCCTAGGGGACAACCCCATGTCCTGGCGAGCTGGAGGGACCCTCTGTGGGCAGCACCATCAATTGCACCAGTGCCAAACTGGTGGGCACTGGGCTCAGTCCCATCTGCTTCACCAGCTCTGGCTCAGCAAATACTTGAAGCAGCTGCGGGTGCAAGTCCAACCTCTCCCAGTGCTGGTGTAAGGTCATGGAGCGAATGGGCTGGGGAACTTTAAACCATGCCAAATCACTCCCCCCAGCACAAGTGTCTGGTTTATCACCAGTTTAGAGCATTTTGGAGGCTGTGGTCACACCACCCCCCAGAGCAGAGCACTCGTAGGAAGCCCAAGGGAGGAATCCTGGGCAGCCATGGTCAGCACCCAGCACCCACGGCATCTCCAAGGGCTTTGTCACATCCTGCACCGCGCTCACCGCCAGCGCTCGGGCGTTTCGCTGCGTTAACCCCACAGAGTCTTGAATTGGTAAAACCTTGCTATGTTTGGACTGGCTTGGCTAGAGATCCCCTCCAAAAACCAGCCTGGCTCCAGGGAAATGCCATTCCCATCTCTCACTGATGGAGACGGCCTCAGTCGCTCCGGCCGCACTCCCATCCCCAGGCGAAGAGCCAGCACCATCCTGCAGACCCTGCCAACCCGGGAGCAAACCAGGGGCTGCTTTCCCAACAAGAAATCACTGCAGAACGGCCCTGCCCCAGAAACCCAGTGCAGGGTCTTCTTCTCCCCATGCATCTCACCTGGATGTGCTGGGAGAAGCGAGCGATGTCCCGGTCCGGTTGGTTCCCAGATGCCAACATCCGCGCTCTGCTCTCCGTGAACTGCCTCAGCTTCTCCGAGAGCTGCTCATACTGCTCGACCTTGGGGAGGAGGCTCTTCAGCGCGTCCTCCCTCTCCCGCTGCTGCCGGCACAGCCTGCCGAAATGCTCCGTCACCTCCGCCAGCTTGCCCTGCAGGGCCGAGGCCGTGGGGCTGTCTGCCGCCTCCGTGAACCGTGTCACCATCTCCCGGGTGGCTTCCAGGCAGCTCTTCTGCCTGGCCAGGTCCTGCTTCAGCTTCTGCAGCAAGCACACACACAAAGGGATGCCATTTTAGGAAGGCTTTTGAGCAAAACTGAACTGGTGTGAAGAGGCTGGGGAATATTGGGCAAGAGCATTTTTCTATCCTGGTTTTCCTTTTCTTTCTGCTCTCCCCAACCCGCTCTGCCTTTCCCCAGTGCCTGATACCTAAGCTTTGCTTGTCAGCAGAAGAAAGACTTCCAACAGTCTTAAATAAATTAATTAAAGGCGCTGCTTATATCCCATTTTAGGGTTTTTTTGGTGTGTTTTCACAATACTGTAGCTAACCCCCAACTACAGCTGCACAGGTCAGGTCCCCCTGTTCCCAGGGACCAGCATTACCGTGCTGGTGGCAAGCGCGTCCTGGATGGAGGCGGAGGAGAGCGTGGCTGGCTGCTCTGCCTCCAGGCTCTTCTCGATCTCGGCCACCGCCTGCAGGAGGCTCTCCAGGCTCTCCTGCACGCTCTGGGACTGGGCGATGGATTTCTGCAGCAGGTCTGAGCGCTCGGCCATCTGCTGGGAGAGCCTCTGGAAGCGGCCCACGATGGCGTCTGCAGAGAGCGGCACACAGGAGAATGAGCGACAAAGGGCAGCGAGGACCATGTTTGGCTCCTGATGAACCCTCACCGATGACAAATCCCCATCCCCGAGCTCAGCAGCGAGACGGGGAACCCAAAGCAAACGGCCAAACTGGATCACAGCCCTCCCCATGTGTAAACATAGGACCTGGAGATGCGTCATTGTCCCAGCTTCCCCCAAAATTGTGAGGCTTCATCTTTCCTCCCTCCCAGTTTGGTTTTCATGCTCTCCCCACCTATCCCTGCCAATGCAGGCGGCTGCTTTGCTCTGTACCTGTTGTTTCCTGAACGTGTCCATGGTCTGGAGCTGGCTCCCCTTGTATCTCCAGCAGGGACCGAGCCGCTTTCTGGAGCTTCTCCACTGGTACCTGATGCTCTGCGAGGTCTCCCTGCAGCTGCTGCTTTGACACGAGACAGGACCAAGTCACCACCTGGGATAAGCTCAGGGCTCTGTTTAAACCCAGCTGAGGGATCCTCTTTGCTTAATGGTAAAACCATTAGGAAAAATAATAATTTAGGTTGGAAAGTCCAACTCCAGAGCCGGCTCAGGAGGTCTGGGCTGTCCCAAGTGCCCAGCCACCCCCACAGGGGAGGAATGACCCCCAGTGTCCCACTGGGATGTGCTCTATAGCAGCCCCCAGTCCTTACTCTGAGCCCAGAAATTTGGCTGCACCTGACCTGCAATGCAGGGACCTCCCGAGCCTGCAGGTACAGCAAAATAAAGCGAACGGATCGAGTCTCCCTCCCGCTGCTGATGCCAAATCCCCACACAGGTCCCCCCAGGGGGATCACTCCAGGCCCCCGCACCTTGGCACTTGCGAGCTGCTGCTGCAGAACGGCCGGGTCCGAAGAAACCGCCTCTGAGAGCAGCTTCCCAACAGCAGCTTCACTCTCCTGCAGCCACGTCCTGAGCGACTCTGCCACCTCCTGGAAGTGCTGGTAGTGATCCAGCAGGGTGCTCAGGTGGGAGCCGAGCTTGGTGCACTGCAAAGGAGTGACAAGACGTGACGGGAGGATGCCCACAGGCACAGAGCAACCTGGGCACCAATGGAAAATGCACAGAAATCATCAAGCAAGGCAAAATAATGAAAAAAACCAATCTTGCTGAAGGTGTTTAAAGAATTATGGGAGGCAACATGCAGCACAACACCAGGACAGAGGGTGTTACTCCTGCCCATGCCCTGAGGAAGACAATCCTTGTCCTACAATCCGTATTATATGTGCTAGGAGTCCAGCTAAACACTTAAGAGAAACATTTCTCTGCCACCCCTGCTTGTTCAACACCCACAGGAGCTAAAACCAGCACCCAGGGTTCAACTCCCAGCCTCTCAAAGCCCTGGCCATACCTTGGAGTGCAGCGTGCTGTATCGCTGCGAAGCATCCTCCAGTTTGCTCTTCACCAAGCTCCCGGATGCCAGCACCTGGGACCCTGCGTCCCCAGCAGCTCCCTCTGCATCCAGCACCTTCTGGCCCGACATGGTGACAAACCGCAGGTCGCCTTTGTGGGAGATGACGTCTTCCGAGAAGCTCCCCTGTCGCCGGAGAAGCTGTCGAAGGGCCGCGGGGTCGCTGTCCCCCTTGTACATCCCTTCCAGGTCCTGCTCCGCTTGCTGCAGCCAAGCCTCGAACTCCCCGTGATCCCGCAGGAACTTCTGCAGCTCATCCCGCAGGGCCTGCACTCGCTTCAGCCGCATCTCCGACCCCGAGAGCGCGGCCGCATACTGGTCCTTCAGCTCTGCCAGCCGGCCCTGGAGCCGCTCTCGCTCCTCCCCGGCCAGGCTGTGGCCGTGCTTGTCCAGGAACGCCTGTGCTGACTGCGCCGCCAGGATCACGTCCTGCTGCTGCGCCAGCAGCTCCTGGTGCTGCGCCTGAAAGGTATCGGTGAGGAGAGGTGATGCTTGGGACCCAGGGCCTCTGCTCACCAGCACCCAGTGGGTGCAGCGAGGACACCCGCATGACCAAGCCTCTGCACCCTCCTACAGCACCAGCAAGGCCAGGGAACACCCCGAGGCCCCTGATCTCATCACCCTGATTGCACCGTGCAATGGCACCCACCCACCAAGCGCACGTCCTCCAGGAAGCCAGGCAGGGAATTCCCAAGTCTCCCACCTGGAAAATCATCCTGAATGCGTGTCTGGGAAGCCAGACCCCTCTAACACCACGTTCTGCTCCAAGGCAGGGTCAGTGCATTGGGTAGAAAGCTTTGAGAGGGACGAGGTGTTGGTCCTGACCTTCAGCCTCTCGTACTGCTCATCCAGGCTCTCGGCAGCGCTCTCTGCTCCCACAACGTGGCCATCGGGGATGTCCTGAGCCCTTGTCCCCGTCCGTGCCCCTGGTGCTTGGTCAATGGGGTGCACTCTGTACTCCAGGAGCCCTCCCTTCTGCTCCAGCGATGCCACCCAGTTCAAAAGGGAATCGATTTTATTGCTGTTCTCCTCCAGCTCTTTGGCAGCTTTCACCTGAAAGCACAAAGGCTCCGGATCAGAATGATTCGCTTGACGCACGTGAAAAAGCCCAAACAGTTTTCCAGCCACAGCAAACCCCTGAGACACTCACAGACCTCCAAAACACTTTGTGGCTCTCTGAAAAGGGATGAAGGTGCAAAGAAGCTGTGAATTAACTCGGTCTCTCTGCTACGCTGCATTTCTAACCCTGATACAACCCAGATTTCCTCCCACGAAGGGCTGCGACTCCTCACACGCAGGCACGAGCATCATTTTCACCACCAGTGTGTGGAGGTGCCCAGTGCTCCCATTAAAGGTCAGCACAAAGGCAGAGCAAGGACCCTTTTACTCCCCTGTTCCCTCCACAACCAGCTCGGCTGTGGGTGCAGCTCTCGAGATGTTTCAGGAGGGAGCACAGCATCACCTTGCCCAGGGGACCAAGAGGAACAGTAAATTCCTTTAGATCACATCACCCAAATAAACACCAGGAGCTCAAATGAATCTGACTGCACTGACTGGACCTCATCACCTCCTCACACAGAGCCCGGGGACCACAGCTCTCCACACGTTACCTTTTCGGTCTCCTGCTGCACCGCAGCTGTCACCGCGCTCTCCAGCTCCTTCTGGGCCACCTCCGTCCTCTCCTGCAGCGAGCGGTACTGCTCCTTGGCGCGCTGCAGCTGCTCCTGCAGCTCTGCCAGCTCCCCGGGCTCCATCTTCGCCTTGTTCTCCTCCAAAAACTCCTCTGTGCTTTTCAGGACGCCGGCGAAGGAGGCGGCTCGGGTGTGCATGTTCCTCTGCAGCTCCTGGGTAGACAATGCCTTTAGGATCCGGTTGCTCCCAAGGCAGCCCCCCAAGCCTCTCTGCCATCCACCCCTCCTGTATTTTTAAAGCACTGACCTTGACATTGCTCTGCTGCTGCTGCAAGGCGGTCAGGTCCCCTTCGCTGGCTGCTCGGGGCTGCTCGGCCAGCGCGGTCTCTGCCTGCTGCAGCCAGCGGCTCAGCTCGGCCAGGCCCTGCGCCCGCGCCGCCTGCTGCTCCTGCAGCGTCTGCAGAGGGGAGAGGGGACACGGTTAGGACGGGGACCGCGCCTCCCGTCACGCAGGTCGCTGAAAGGCAAGGCGAGAGGTTACAGCTGGAGCATCTCCTGAAGGGGAGGATGCAGCACAGAAAGCGGCTTTTGCAGCTCTCCAGGGGCTCCCTCTCAGCATCTCCCAACTCTGAGGTGCAGCTCCTTGCTGAGCAGAAGGTGCCCCCTGCACCTTTGCCACCGTTTGAGCAGGTTTAAGGCTGCTCTTTGGGTTCCAACGTGAAGCTACACTCCAGGTCATGGACTCCTCTCCCAGAAGAGCTCAACCAGAAGTTTCTGTGCCTTTAACATCCAACCTTACATTAAAACTGCAGCAGAAACTCATTTAACGGGAGGTAACAACGACCTGAGGTTGGCAGCACCACCTTGGAGCCCCAGACAACCCAGATAGGCTGGATTTTTGATGCTGGGATTGGAGAGGGAGCCCAGGAGAGAGAAAGCGCTTCTGTCCCTGATCCAGCTCCTCCGTTTTGCTGCCAGAGCACAACACAGAAGCGCCTGTTCGAGCAATTGAGCATGATGTGACCTGAGAGTCCCTGCAACGTTCCTGTTCCCCTCTCCCAGGGGAGAGAAAGGGGTTTTTTTTTTGGAGTTTCCCTGGGCATTTCAGCAAGGTGAGGTACAAACTTGTGCAAAACACTGTGCTGGTTTCTCCCAGTCATAAGATAAACAACAGAAGCAAATTGCAAGAGCCTTCTTAAGAGCTCTTCAGCTGCAAAGCGAGTTCTTCTTGGGTTAGGATGGGCGCACACTCAATCTGAAAAAGCAAAGCAAACTGGTTAATATACACACACACACTCCAGAGAGGACAGGCAAGAGTTACAGAGAGCAACTGTTAATAAAAACCACATTAATCCTGTCTTGGATAAGAGGATCCATGCAGTGACGGGTGCTGCAGTGATGCAGCAGGGACCTGAGGACTTGCAGCTGCCCGCTGCCTTGATACCATCAGCTTTTCCCTTGGGCAGCAACACCTGACTTGTGCAGTGGAAATAAGGCATTAAAACACTGCTGGGTGCCTGCGGTGGCCCCTCTGCACAGGGATTTTTTGGTGGGGTTGCACAGACCAGGGTTTATTCCACCCAGCCCAAAGCAACTTCACGTCTAGAAGAAGTTTGCCCAGACATGGTACCCAGGCAGGGCTTCATCTTTCGGGAGGAAAGCCACTTTCTGCCTGGGAGCTGCGTGATAAGAAGAAAGACTTTAGAGGAAGCTCATGATGTGCAATGAGAAGTCCTAAACTGTGAGTGGCATGCACACGAAATCCCAAAAACTAGGCGTCTCAGCGCACGTTCCTGTGGCCGGGAAGCGCTTCAGCGAGCAAACCGCAGCCAGAAGCAGACGTCCCCCGACCTTCACCTGGTCCGTCTGCTCCACTTGCTGGAGACAGACCTGCAGGACCTCCACCCGCGCCGTCACGCGCTCCGACAGGTCCCGGAAAGCCTTCTGCAGCTCATTGAGCAGCCTCAGCAGCTGCCGGCTCTGCTGAGGGGTCAAATCCTGGGCGTGCTCCGAAATAAGGAGCTGGATGTCGAAGGCGGTGGCGTCAAGCTGAGACTTGGTGTTAGCGAGGGGCTCCTTCAGCTCCTGAATGGGAGAAAAAAGATGTGAGAGGCTAAGTTACTCTGCGGCCTGCACTGCCCTGCACTGCCAGCTTCATATGGGACATGCAGACAGTGTGCCCAAAAAATGTGCCTTGTCACCAGAACCCAAACCCCAAACGCTCCCGAAAGCACGCTCAGCATCGAGGTGAAGCCCTGAAGATGAGCCAGGGCTGCCTGGTGTGGCCCACAGTGACTCCGTGTGCCACCACCACCTCTCAAAGCCTTTGACCCTCAACTTCAACAACGAACAGGAGATGCTGAACTGACCAAACCTTGGGAGCTATCGCTTAAAGGTGAATAAACGTGGAGGGGAGCCTGGGCTCCTCGTACAGTTGATGGAGATGGGGCAGGTGTGATGCAGGAGGCTGATCTCTTCTCAACAGCCTGACAGGAATCCCTCCCCACCAACACCTGCATCAGAGCACAGTCCCTAAACGGCCAAAGCAGATGGTCTGTGCATTGTGGAAACAAATTATTTTTGGAGCAAGTACAATACCAGTGCTCCTCTTGCCATAAAGGATAAGGGCAAACCCACCGAGGCTCCAGGAGGGAAGCAGGATTAAAAGCTTCTCCACACAGAGGACAGCAACTTCATCAGGCAGGAGGATTAGGGGCATTGCCATGGTTACCTTGTAGTGCTGGAGGCAGCGACTCAAGCTGTTCGCATCGGTCGTGGGGTGGCGATCGCTGCCGTCCAGTGACTCTGCGGTGCCAGAGACCCAGCTCAGCAGCTCCTGGAGTTTGCCCTCAAGAGTCTCGTGATGCGCCAGGATTTTAGCCTTAAAACCCAGAAATGCACCATTTAAAGAAGGAGCAGGGCGTTTCGGGGAAGGGGCGTGGGGATGCTCAGTTGCCAGCTCTACCTTTTCGGTTTCTGCCGCCCCGCGAAGGTTTTGCAGCCGGGACTCCAGGACATCACTTGCGGAGCTCAGAGACTTCTGGAGGTTCTTGGCATCCTTCTCCAAAGCCTTCAGCAACTGCTCAGGGACCTCTTCAGGGGGGTTGGCCACAATCCACTGCACAGCATCCAACTCCTGATTCACTGGGAAGCTCAGCTCCTGCAGCTCAGCGCCCAGGGCCTGAGGCGAGACAGCACGGTTATGTCTGAGAGAAGATGACTTCATCCTCCCGCTGCCAAAACCGAGGAGAGGTTTTGGAGACCCAGCTCTGATTACTGCGTCTATCTCCTAGGAAGATTCATTGCCATCCTCCAGCCCCGCTCAGCCGCCAGCATTTCCCAAGCTGTAAATTTTATTCCAGCCAAGCTGAGGTTATTGTCTAAGCAGGCAGAAGGTGATCCAGAGGCAGGTTTGGAGTGGGGAGGGACGGGGTTTGCAGATAAAAGCCTTGAACCTGAGCCCTGGCTGGTTCCCAGAGGCAGGGAGGAGGTGCAGGGGCTCACACGAAGCCGGGAAGATGAGGGATGGGCTTGGCCCAGCCGCGCTCACCTCTGCCTGCAGCTGCAGGTCGTGCAGGGCTGCCAAATTCTGCTCCGCTGGCTGCACCCGTTTGATCCTCATCTCGATATCCCGCAGCATGGAGAGATACGAGATCAGCTTCTCGTCATGCTCCAGACACATCTTCTTGCTGAACAGGATCTACAGAGTCCAACGGCAAAGCAAAAGCTCAGCTTTAGTCAGACCAGAAAACAAAGGATTGTATCTTCTTCTTTTTTCTCAAAGGAGCAATCTGTTAATAACATCCATTGCAGGGACTTTCCACTCGCCAGCCTTATCTGCAAGATTTACTACAGGAAAAACAGAAGACATGGCTCTTTTTCCAACATAAGCTTATAAATGGCAAGGGATCTCTGGTGTTACAGTAAAAGTGCCAAAAATCAGACCTGCTGATTAGTCATTTGTAAGTAATGCTCTAGCAGAAAGAGCCCACAACTGAGCCGTGAGTGTTTGCAGCCATACATCACCGGGTGCTCTGCCAAACCCACCGCAGATGATGCTGCAACATCAAGCTCAAACACCCCCTCCTCCTCTTGCTCTCCTCTGTGCCAAGGACCTCGCATTTAACATCAAACGCACACAAAGGGCTCATTAAAAATATGTCGAAGTAGCAAAAAGCATTCGTTTACCTGGGCTGGTCTGGTGGACTCCCTCGAGGTCTCCAGCAGCTCCCCCTCCACTATCACAGGCAAGAGCAGGCTCCGATCGCCAGGGCCCTGCCTGCTCCTCTCCTGGGCAGCTTCTCCCTGGGATTTAGGAGGAAGAGGGGCACCTCCTTGGCCTGTGCTGGTCTCTGCTGTTTGCTCCTGTCGTGGCTCTTCCCCAGGCTTGGGGACCGCAGAGGTTTCCTCTCTGATGACCAATTCCTGGAGCTGGTTGTCAGCCGTGGGGGCTGCACTGGACACATCAACGGTGGTTCCCACCTTGGTCTTTTCCTGTGTCGCCCTCTCCTCCAGGATCAACGCCACCGAGAGATCACTACCAATTCTGACCCCATCTTTTGTCACCTCCTGAGCCACCCCTTGTCCCGGGAGGACAGGGATCTTCTGAGCCCCAGTGAGGTTTTCTTCCTCTTCCTCAGACGTGGTTTTCTTTTCCTTTTCATCCCTGCTGCTCCTCATGGGTTTGGCTCCATCTCTCACCAACCCAGCAGCAACCGTGGTGGTGGTTCCATGTTTCAGTTCTGGTGTGCTTGAGACCAAGTCCTTCTCCTCTTCCTCCTCCTCCTTCCCTGGGATTTCCTTGGAAATCACAAGAGGAAGGGGCTGCTTTTCCACAGATTTCTCCATCTGAGCGCTGTCTCCTGCAATACCAGCCTGCTTTGCTTTCTTTTTCTTGCTTTTCTGTTTCTGGGTAGGTTTTCGCTCAGGTTCACTTGTTCTTTCTTCATCAACTGGACCTTCTGCATCCACTCTCGGGGTTTCTCCTCCGATGTGCTTGGCAACACCTCTTGCAGCTGCAAACTCACCTCCTGCAGGCTCCATAGGGATGCCCATCTCGGGGGGCTCTCCAGACTCTGCAGGACCCATCTGTACAGTAACTCCTTTCCTCGGGGCTGCCGGTGTTCCCCCATCCACGCTGCCCGCTCGCTCTCCTCGCTCAGAAGCCACCACTGCACCTCCTCCACCTGCCACAACTCCCCCTGCACTTCCAAACCCTTTCCTCCTCCTCTCCTTGCTGTCCTCCACACCATGAAGCATCTCTGTGTCCAAGAACGACTGCTCTTTCTCCAATCCCAATCCCTCCACTTTCTCTGTCCCTCCATCGCCTTCTCCCCTCAATTCCTTTCCCCAAGCTGCTCTCACCTTGGAGCTGCTTTTTGCAGTCCCTTTTTCCATAGCCCTTACCACCACTGTCTCTTTGGAGAGCGATGCTGTACCCGATACTGATGGATATTCTGGAGTCACTTCAACCTTTCCTTGGGGCTGAGGTGTTACGTTGTCTTCTGAAGTTTCTTGAGGTTTTGATTTCCCTTCTCTGGGGGTCACTGGGGATCTCTTGTGGGCAGCGGCTGCACCTCCAGCCATGTCACAGCTCACAGCCTCAGACCCAGCTTTGTGCTCAGCACCATCAGACTGCTTAGCAGCACCGGTAGAGACAACATCTTCCTCTTTTCGAGATACTTTTTCCATTTTTTCCTGAAAAACGTGGGGCTCATCTACTTTGCAGACCTCAGAACCACGTTTGTCCTCAGAGATTTGCACCTCCTGAAGAGCAGCAGCTAATTTCGGGCTAACCAGTCCCTTTTCCACAGCTTCCTCCAAGCTCAACTTTTTCCCACTGCCGCCATCCACAATCCCCCCCGTCCTCAGCTGGTTGGTGGCGATGACTTGGGCCACCTCCTCATCCAGCAGCCCCCGCTCCACAGCGGCCCTCAGGGACAGCCTCTGGCTGAGGGGACCCTCCACCACCCCCCCGCCGTCCGCCTGAGCCTGCAGCAGCCGCAGGGCGGGCAGGGGGTCCACCTTCCCCAGCGCCACCGCCGCGGCGCACGTCAGCCTGGTCCCCGTCACCTCGTCCGTGATGGCGCTGAAGGGATGGACCTCCAGATACCTCTGGCCGGATTCGATGTCGATCCTGCACTTCTTTACGAACTCCGAGTAGGGCACGATCGTGCAGGTCTCGGGATCCACAATTGCTTCTTTCATTTCGGAAGACGAGAGGACTTTCTCCATCACCTGCTGGGGCAGCAAGCCCTCCTTTACCGCCTGACCGAGTGCCAGCCTCTGGCCAGAAGCGGGATCCAAGATGCTTCCACTCCCAGCCTGGATTTCTTGCACTTTCCTCTGGAAATCCGGACTAACGAGCCCCAGTGACACTGCCTGGGGTAAGGGCAGCTTCTCCTTGGTCACTGGGTGCACGTAGTCCTGCAGGCACACGCTTTCGGCTTCCACGAGCCCGTTACCCAAATCCTGACTGATCAAACCATGTCTCATTGCGTCGTTTACCGAAAGCCTCATTCCAGACACGTGGTGGATGATCCCTCCGTCAGCAATCTGCTTGGTCAGGAGCTCAAACGCTTTTTCCTTCTCCAGGAGCCCCTTTTCGACAGACTCCGCGACAGTCAAAGGCTGCTTGGTTTTGGGATCCACAATCCCACTGGTCTCCGCCTGTAAGCGAATGAGCTTCTCCCTGGTCACCTCATCAGTGTCTTTCCCTTTGGAAGCCTTCTCCAGCTTGCCAAGCTCTTTCTGACCCGTTGGCTCGATGAGGCCCAGATTCGAAGCCAAAGTGACCGACACCTTTTTGCCACGTTTCAAGTCAACGATGCCTCCAGTAACCACTTGCCCTTCCAAAATCCTCATCGCCGTTTCCTTGTCCAGGAGGCCAACGGCAGCAGCGTCCTTGACAGAGTAGACAAAGTTATTGCCTGGATCGAGGACACCGCTTATCGCTTTGTCGGACGCGAGCACCTTCTGGAGCAGGTTCTCATCCATCAGACCCTCCTCAATGACGTCCTCGGTGGTTAAGGATTCGCACGTATGAGGGTCAAAGAAGCCACTGAACATCTTCATTTTCTCCATCAGCTTCACGGCTGTGTGGCCGGGCACCACCCCACAGGCTACGGCTTCGTTGAGGAGAAGAGTCCTGCCCGTCTGCTCGTGGACGATGCCACCGCTTTGGAGCTGCGCTAACAGCGTTTCCAAAGTGTCCTCTGCTTCCTGCTCTGCAGGGGCTGGTAGGGATGGTTCATCACCTCCCTCATCACCCAACACCTCGTCCCACTCTCCTTCTTCCACTTCCAATGCTCCTTCCACTTCCAATGCCCCTTCCACGTCTTCACTTTGCCTCTCTCTTTGTGCCTCGCTGGTTTTCAGGAGCACAACCCCCTCTCCTCCCAGCACACCATTCTCAACTGCTTTCTCATTTAGCAAATAAGCCTCTTCAACATCTCCTGCCTCTAATTCAGGTTCCACCTGAGACCTCTCTGCCATGATTTCCAGTCTATCTCCACCTTCTGCAGCACCCATCGATAACCAGATTTCGCTTTTCACAACTGCTCCACTTTCCAGTGCCCTCTTCTCCTCTTTGATACTTTCCACTCCATCTACTGTAACAGGCTTGGACTCTTCTTCTCCCTCCATCAACATTTCCTCTGCTTCTCCAAATCCACTACCAAGGCCACCAGGACGTTCTGGCATCAATAACTTTATCTGAAGCTGGTCCTTGCTTGCAGAAGCTACTTCCTCTCTTCCAAATTCAGCATCCATTTCACTCTTGCTGGCAGCCTGTTGGGTACCAACCTGCTCTTGCTCCTCCACAAGCAGGACGTCCTCTGCATCCTCCAACAGGAGCTTTCCAGGTTCCCCCACCACCTCCCCGTTCTCCAGAGCGGTTCTGGAGGGCAGCACCGTTTCGCTTTGCTCCTTTGGAGGAGCAAACTGAAACTCCAGCTGCTGCAAAGCCAAGCCATTGCAAGGCTCCCTCTCAAGAGCTGCGTCTGTCCTCGTCTCCTCAAAACCCTCGCTCTCTTCCAACACGTGTGCCCAAGATCCATTTTCTTGGGTTCGGATGAAGGCTTTGGTGAGATCGTTCAGCTCTCCATCCACTAAGAGCAGCTTCTGGCCGTCGTGGATGTTGATGTAGCTGTGGGTCATCAAGTGGAACATCAGCCTCTCATCACTGCCCCTTAGCAGGGGGTCACTCTGCTCTTTGGGACCAGAGGGACCCCTTCCCGAATTGCTCTGGCCGTGGCTCCTTCTGCTCGGAGAGCCAGCGAGCTGCACGCTGGCCATCACATCAGGTATGGCTGTCGATCGCAGCTTCTTCGCCACATCCCTCTCCAAGATGCCGTGTTCAACCGCTTTCTTCCAGGACAGCACCTCCGTGGTTTCGGGTATAAAAACACCCTTGATGAGCTGCCTCTTGCTGAGAATCTTGTAAACCAACTCAGTGGACAGGAGCCCTTGCTCCAAAGCATCCGCAACTGGGATGATCTCCCCCGTCTCTGGCCACAGGAGCCCCATGAAGGACCACAGCGACTCCAGCACCACCAATGCAATCTTTGGTGCTACCAACTCCTTCCTCACAGCTTCATCAATGGTCAGTCTCTCTCCTGTGACGGTATCGATGATGCCCCCTGTCTGAAGCTGCCGGATAAGAAGCGTGCACGCCAAATCCTGGTCGATCAAATTGTGTCTCACGGCCTCGTCCACCGTCAGCCTGTGCCCTGTCCTGGGGTCTACGATGCCACCAGCAAAGAGGTGAGCTTCCAGCAGCCTGACGGTCACCTCTCTGTCGATCAGCCCTTCCTGCACGGCGCGGAAGATGCTGACTTTTCGGCCCGATTTCAGGCTCACCGTGCCCCCCGCCAGCTGCGTGACCGGCAGCAGCCTCAGCCCGCTCTCCTGGTGCACGACGCAGCGCTGCACGAGCTCGGGCAGCCCGATTTTCTCCGCCGTGTTGGGGTCAATCAAATCCTTGCTGTTCTCCAGGTGGGACAGGAGTCTGGCATGAAGCTGCGGGGTAAGGAGCCGTTCTTGCAGCGCTGTCTCCATGCTGACCCTGCCCTGATGGGTTTTAAAGCCCCCGGTGACAAGCTCAGCCTCCAGGATCTTTATCCCAATGCTCTCACTGATCTTTCCCTCTTCTATGGCAGCAACCACGGGTAGGAGCTGCCTCCCTTCACGTCGGACTTCATCCACCTGGTGCAGAGCATCCTTCAGCTCCTGCAGCACCTGGAACGTCCTGAGATCGATGGCGTTTCTCGCCAGAGCCGTCTCCAAGGAGAGCTTCTCGTTGGTCTCTGGAACAACTAAGTCAGATGTGATAACCTGGGCCTCCAAGAGGACCAGGCCGGTGTCCTGATCTATAAGACCTCTCTGCATGGCACCAAAGACCGGGAATATTTCTACGGTGCCAAGATCGATCACTCCTGCCACTGCTTCGCTGGCCTGGAACAGAAAGAGAAGGGAAAGAATTAAACCAAAATCAAGCATTTCCAGCACTCAGACTGCACGAGGTCCAGGGAGGTCTCAGTTTAAAACAAAAAAGTTTAAAAACCCTAAACCAGGCTAGAAAGCGAGTCCCAAAGTATTTGAAAAGCAACTCCACAGGCATCACAGCACACAAACGGGTGCATTTGCTAGCTTGCACACTGCCAGCAAGTCCTAATGCTCATCTCCTCCATCACCCAGGGCAGCACTGAGATGCTCCCAGCATCCACCACCAGTAACGCAGCAAAGCGGCAAGCAGCAAAACCCAGGAGCGCTCCTAATGCTCCATGGAGAAACAGAGGTGAGGAGACCAACGAGCACACCACAGCCGTTCAGCAACTCCGGTTTCAAAAACCGAGGACAACACCAACCCCGCTGCGTACCTCCAGAGGAGAAAACCCCCACAGACACCCACTTCGGGGCACCTAGGAACCTCTCCCAGCGCAGTTTCCACCCCAACTCCTGCCATGCTGAAACCCTGCATTTCCCAAAGCAGATCTCAAGTGCCAGGACCTCTGGGGAACACCACGGACCCTCAGGAAACACCACAGATCCCCGTGCCATGGAGCAGCTCCCAGCCATGCGTTAGGGCAGCAGCGCTGCATGCGGGGCAGCTCCCCAGCACGCCCAGCAGCACCCGCAGCTCGAAGGAGCCGTGCTCCTCAGACAGGGCATGGTGAGACACAGAAGATGTTGGGGATCCCAGTATGGAACCAGTGACAGATTGGGAGCAGACCATCTGCTCTGGTGCTTCTGGAGGGGATTTTCTCTTCTTGCTGGGTAATAATTGACATGATAAAGAGTAACGGCTCTCTGAATGTTTGGGTTTCTTCCAGTCCCTCTGGTTGGGTATAAGAGTGGCCCAAACACTACAGGGTTGTGGGGACTGGGAAGAGGGAATCTGGATTGTGGGATTAGTTCATTTTGCAGCCCAAACACCCTCTGATTTGGTCTTTTAATTGGTGATTCTGACTGCACAGGCAGCTGGAGGTGTTTGTAGCTGGGGCACAGCTCGGGTACAGCACAGCAGGGGATGCAGAGCCCCCCAGGACTGGTCCACAGAGCCCCCCACTGCTCTGGAGACAGCCTGAACCTGCCCACAAAACCTAAGCTGTCCACCACCACCGCCAGACTTGGGCATGCACGTTGGGAGATGAACAAGCCATGGAAAGACAGAGAAGAGGAGAAGAAGAAAAGAGAGAAAGATAAAAAAGGAGATGGGGGTAAAAGGCTTTTACTTACCCGAGTTGCAGGGTGCGCCTTGAGCAGTTAAAGACAGAGCCTTATGGAGCAGTTCAGCCGTATCACACACAGTGTAAAGCTTGGTGTTAGCGTCCAGCATGCGACTGGTTTGTTTGCAAAAAAAAAAGAACCCCCCACACACACACGGGTCGTCCTCTTTCACTTTGTGTGGTTGGTTTGGGTAAATCCCGGAGGGTTAGTTAAACTTGTAAGCAAGGATGTCAGTTAATCTCAAAACCAGTTGACATGAAACACGAACTGTACGGGGACACATCATGCTCAATTTAGCGCGCTCTGCTCTGCGGTTTGTTGGGTTTTTTTTTGGTCTTTTGTAACTTCTCTCTGACACTTGGATGTTTCCAGCAAGCAAATGTTAAGGAGTTCCTCACGCTCCCTCTACAGTGAAGCAGCCGCACCGCAAGAGCCGCAGGGATCGTCTCGCAGACGGGGACCTCAAAGCCCCGCTGCCACCTCTTGTTTTCTTTCCCCGGCTTCATCGAGAGCGTGAGTGAAAACTGTTCCAGCCCCAGCCCCAAAGCGCGCTCACGCTGCATCAAAACAGCCCAGCAAGCCATGGAAAAGGCTTTTTTTTGGCTCTAAAGTAATTTTCCTGCCCGGGAGGGAGGAAAAGGGAAAGGACGAAGCATCCTTTCCACGGGCTTAGCAGCAATTGATGAGTCTGTTTGCTCACTGTAAGCTCATGAGGGCTAAAGGGCTTGCAATAGGAAGCATTTACTGCATGGAGACACTTAAAATGTGCTATAAAGTCCAATGTGGAGAGAAACTCTCTCTGTTTAGGTGAAAGCTGAGGGGGGCAGATCTCAAACATCGCCCTCTTCCCATGAACGACTCGAACAGGGCTTCACTCATGGACCCAACAGCCAAAACCACGCGTCCAGATCCGAGCGGGCCGCTGCTTCAGAGTACAGGGAGCCAGCAAGCAAACACACAAATAAATCCATCGACACATGTATATACATTTATATAACACGTACACGTATATCTGTGAAAGACCAGAGAGGCCATAAGGATGCGCTTTCAGCCCTCCCTACCCAGCGGCACGAGGATGGGGCTGGCGGACGCGGATGGGAAATGGGTCCTCCAGGGACCACCCCGATCCCAGACGTTTTGGGTGACGCACAGATGGAAGAGAAGGGAGGGCAACCACGTGCAAGTAAGAAAGTCAACGAGCTGTGAGAGGCCGGTGGCCGTGAGATATAAAACCAAGCGAACCCTTTGTCACCCCCGGAGGGGTGCCCTGTGTCCCTGCAGCCGTGGGAGCACGCAGGGAGCAGTACCTTGTGCTCTGTCTCCTGAGCCAGTTGGCTCTGGAGCTGCTGGAGCTGCTCGGTGGAGTCGCTGCAGAGAGCCTGGTAGGTCTCCTTCAGAGCCCCGAGCTGAGCGGAAATCTGCTCCTTCTCCGGGTGGGAAAGCCTGGAAAGGGATGAGGAAAGCTCTCAGGGAAACTGCACAAAGCAGCTCCTCAGAATTAACAAGTTCTGGTGAAGGAAAAGGCCAAATCCACCATGGGTATGGCTCAGCTAAAACCAGCAAGGCTAATCTGTGCTGACCTGCATTGTAACAATCAAATCAAATCCCCAGATATAAGAGATTAGATCACTATTAAAGATGATTCATATTGTCCTAACGAGATAAATGGGTTGTATATTTCATAGCTCTTGTTGCAGGTAAGAAAGATGACAACTTTCATGTGCAGCTCATCACTGGTTTTAACAGAAGTCAGACCCCAGGGATGCCACCAGCGCCAGCTCTGAGGTGTCTCAGTCCCCTCGCCAGTCCCCTCCTGGGGCCACACTCACTTGTGGCTGTGTTTAGCCAGGAAGATTTGGGAAGTTTTGATGGCCTCAGAGATCTGCTCCTTCTTCGCAGCCAGCTCCTCATTCAGGGCCTGTTGGGAGAAAGGAAAAAAGGAGGAAGCTTAATTCAGCTGTGGAAAAAGAGCACAAGTTAAAGCAAATTGCTGATGGCTGCCCCCAGTTTACCTGCTGCTCCGAGATGGATTTCTCGATGTCGCCCAGCTCTCTGCTGCCAGCAGCAGCCGTCCTGCCCTGCACGCTCTGCTTCAAGCCCAGGGCCCAGCCCAGGAGCTCCTTCACCTTGTCCACGTGCTCCTGCTTCTCCTCCTCCACGACTTTCTGCAAATGGAGGAGGGAGGAAGACAACAACGTCAAAAAGGTCCCTGATTTCCAAAGGCAGAGAAGCTCTCAGGAGCGGCACCCAAGATGTAACCCCAACATGGAGCAGCATCCTTGAGGGTGTGAGGAAATGAGCCTGCACAATTTGAAGAGAGAGTTCAGTTTCACAGAGTCACAGAATGTGAGGAGTTGGAAGGGACCTGGAAAGCCCCCCCAGTGCAACCCCTGCCACAGCAGGAGCACCAGAGCAGTCACACAGGAACACGGCCAGGGCTTTGGGTGTCTCCACACAAGGAGACTCCACCACCTCTCTGGGCAGCCTGGGCCATGCTCCATAACCCTCACCCTGACAAAGTTTCTCCTCATCTTCAGCTTGAACCTCCTGTGCTCCAGCTTGGGACCATTGCCCCTTGTCCTGGCATTGGCCATCCCAGAGCAGAGCCTGGCTCCTTCCTCCTGACACTGCCCTTTCCCAATGGATCCCCAGGAATGAGGGCACCCCTCAGTCTCCTCTGCTCCAAGCTCAAGAGCCCCAGCTCCCTCAGCCGCTCCTCAGCAGGAGATGCTCCACTCCCTGCATCATCTTTGTGGCCCTGCTGGACTCTTTCAAGCAATTTGCACATCCTCACCTCCTCCTCCTCCAGCCGCCGGAGAGCATCGCTGATGTACTTCACGTGCTGCGTGGTTAACGTCACCAGAGCCGTGTAGCGAGTCCGCAAATCCATGAACTGCAAAGGGAGAGAGGGAGAAACAGGGCGCATCAGTCACGACCGGCAGATCCGCAGCGACGTACTTTACAGTACAGGACACGGATGCAGCATCTCTCACTTGGGAAGCTCCCCCAGGCACCTCGCAGGCCCTGTACGGCACCAATGAAACGCAGCGAGTCTGACGGGGAGGGTTGTGGCCACACACGGCATGCTGCATAACACTGGAGCGGAGGGGAGACTCCGTGACGGACACTGGGGCGGATGCTCAACTCTTACAAAGAGGGCTAGCGGGATCTTTAATATCCACACGGAGCAGACAGGACCTCGGGTCCCTACGGGTCTCATCCCAAAGATCCACACACAGTGACGCTGCATGGCGCTCCGGTTATTTACCTCGCAAGGCTGAAGGGCTGAGCCGACCCCGCTGGATTTGACCCAGGGGTTCCCAGGAGTCCAGGTATTTCATACCTGGTGCTCAGAGCACTAAGCCATCCTCTCTGGCTAGCGGAAAAAACAGCGAGGGTGGAAACTTCATTTACACAAGAGCGTTCAGCAGAAAGGAGCTCAATTCACAGAGGCTGCTCGGTGTCGATGAACCCCCTCCCCGTGCACAATTTCTCCCTCGTGAGCGTGGGCGGGCGGCTGTGCTCCTACCTCCTGCGTGATGGCATCCGAGGACGAGTGCATGCGTCGGCGTTTCATGGGAGACTTCTGCTGCGACTCCACGAACGCCCGGTACGTCATGAGCTGCAACTCGTAGTCCTGGAGAGGCAACCAGGGTGGGGAGAGATGCAGTAAGTGAGATGCAAACCATGCTGGGGCCATTTCTGCCCAGCCAGCCTTATCTGGGGGCAGGAGGGACCCGTACCTTGACGGCAGCAGAGTAGTGCTGGGAGAATCGCTGACACTGGTCCAGCTTGGCTTGATTTTTCTCGATTTCTGCAGCCAAAGCCTTCAGCAAAATTCACAGAATCACAGAATGGTTTGGGTTAGAAGGGACCTTAAAACAATCTAGGCCAAGCCCCAAAAGCAAAAAGCATTCAAAGCAAAGATGGTTGTCAGGAGAGCTGCCATGGGTGGTGAGCTCAATTTCAGTCCCCATCCCTCCCCTTTTGGTCCAAGTCTTTCTCCTCTCCAACGACTTTATGCAAGGCCTCATTTCTACCTCAAACGAAGCAGAGTTTCTCTGCTTACCAGACACCCTGACTGTATTTCATGTTTTCAAGCTTACAGATGAAAAGATTTCAGTAAAAGAAGAGAAAAGACACCGCAGCACCGTGCCATGGAGACATCACGAGGTGCTGCCGTACCGTTTGCTGGCTCAGCTGCTCTGACAGCACCCGGCTGTCCTCTGCCTGCCCAGGCTTCATCAGCTCCTGCTGCACCGTGATCTCCTCGATCCACTGGATCAGGGCACTGTGGCACTGCCGGTAATCGCTCAGCACCTCCTGAATGCTCTCCAGCTCTGCGTGGCTGCGAGGAGAACCAAGTCAAATGTAAGAGGAGGGCGAAATGCCACCAGTGGGAATCATAGAATCACACAGAATATCGGGAGTTGGAAGGGACCTGGAAAGCTCCCCCAGTGCAACCCCTGCCACAGCAGGAGCACCAGAGCAGTCACACAGGAACACGGCCAGGGCTTTGGGTGTCTGCACACAAGGAGACTCCACAACCTCTCTGGGCAGCCTGGGCCATGCTCCATAACCCTC